TTATAAAGCTGGAGTCCTGATTTGATAACATTAGTGTCCTTATAAGAGGAGAAACCAGAGAGCTCGCTCTCTGTCTTTCTCCATGTTCTCACACTTAGTAAAGTTTCTGTGAGCCACAGTAAGAAGGGGCGGTCTGCAATCCCAGGGGAGAGCCCCCACCAGACACAACCCCACTGCACCTTGATCTGGGACTTCCAGGCTCCAGAACTGTGAGATAATGCATTTCTATTGCTTAAATCGCCCAGTCTATGAATTTTTGTTACAGAAGCCTGAGAGGAATAATACAGTCATGAGACACATAACGATGTTTCAGTCAACAGCAGATCGCATACCCAAGAGTGGTCCCATAAGATTAGTACCACATAGTCTAGATGTGTAGTAGGCTATACCATCTGGGTTTGTGTAAGTGCACTCTCTGCTGTTTGATAAATGATGAAATCTCCTAATAACACATTTCTAAGAATGTCTTCCTGTTGTTAAGCGATGTATGACTGTATGGATTTTGGTACTGAGACGTGGGGTGCTGCTGTAACAACTACCTAAAATGTGGAGTCAGCTCTGGAACTAGTAACCGGAAAAGCATGGAGGAGTTTTGAGGTTCATGCTACAAAAAGTCTAAGTGCTGCAGACAGACTGTTGATAGATAGATGGAGGTTAAAGGTGAGTCTGTTGAAAGGTCAGAAAGAAAAGAGAAGAGCTGGAGAAAAAGTCTCATCTTTTTAGGGAATACATGATTAATCATGAACAGAATGTTGGTAGAAATAAGCACAGTAAGGTCCATTCAAGTGAGACCTCAGATGGAAATGAAGAACGAATTATTAACAATGGAGAAAAGGCGATCTTTGTTATAAAGTGGCAAAGAACTTGGCTGAATTGTGTTCTGATATTTGTAGAAGATAGAACTTGAGAGCCATGAAATTGTATATTTAGCTGAAGAATGTTGATTTGTGGGCTGGATCCTCCTGACTGTTTATAGCACAATTCAAGAGGAGAGGGATGAATGGAAGAATGAATTGTTAAGCGAATGGACCCAGAACTTAAAGATTTGAAAAATTCTCAGCTGTCCATATTGCAACAAATGGAAAGTGTGTTTGGGAGAGAACCCCAAAGGTGGGGATGGACTCTCAGTTGGTAATGAGGTGAAGAGATTGTGCAGCAGAAACACTGCTAGTTTGAACTGAAGGGGGTGGAGATGGGAGAAAATGAATGAAAGACTTCAGACTTCTTAGATCTACAGGATGGGACCACAGAGCTATTCAGTTGAAACATGTGCTCTTCTTCACGAAAACAGAATGGTGACCACAAAGGCAGTTCAGAGGTCATCAGGGCTGCCTCCTTGGTTTCAATGATTGGGTCACTGCCTTGATTTCAACAGGTCAGATGGTGTCTGCTCAGAGCAGTGGAAGGGGCCTCACAAAATCACACAAGGTATTGAACGTGCTTGGAACCCATCACCCCTGTCTTTTTTCCAATTTCTCCCTTTGGGAGTCGGACTTGGACTGCCCCAACATTGCATTTTAGAAGCACATAGCTACAGCAACAAGAAGGCTGTGCAACTACGACATACAGCTATCTACTGGTGCTTGGGGGGGGGGGATAAATAAATAAATAAAAATTTATTAAAAAAACTGTTAAAAAAAAAAGAAGCACATAGCTTGTCTGGGTCACAGTTTCACAACTACAGAGGAATTCTGCTTCTGGATGAATCTTACCCCCACTCTCACCCATGTCCAATTTAGATGATACTTAGATGAGACTTTGGATTTCAGACTTGATAGTTGATGCTGGAATGAGTGGGGATTTGGGGGGACTGGAGAGATGGAATGAATGTGTTTTGTGTGGGAGAAGAACATGAATTTGGAAGGCTCAAGAGTGGAATGCTGCGCACGGAATGTTTGTGCCCTCCTAAAATTCATATTGAAGTCCTAACACCCAGTGTGCCTGAATATGAAGATGGGCCCTCTAAGGAAGGAATTAAGGATAAATGAGATCATAAGGATGGGGTTCTGATTAGACAGGTTAGTGTCCCTATAAGAAAAGACACCAGGGATCTCTCTCTCCACCTCACACACACCGAGGAAAGGCCATGTGAGCAGAAACGAGAGAGCAGTCACCCACAACCCAAGGGGAGAGCCCTCAAAGGACACTGACCTGTCCACACCTTGGTCTTGGCCTTCCTGGCCTCCAGAACTGTGAGCAAATAAATTTCTGTTGTTTAAGACACTCAGTCTATGGTCTTTTGTTATAGCAGCCTAAGCAGACTAACACATCTGATTTTTCTCTTTTTTTATTCATTCCATATAAATATATATTCTCATTATTATTATATTCCTTCATCCACTGTCATGGTATGAGTTTGCCACTCTTTTTCTAACTTCTTTAGATGTTCACCTAGGTTGTTGATGTTCAGGCTTTCTTCCCTTTCTAATAATCTCATTGAGGCACTTAATTTTCTCACTTGATCTTGATATATAACATTTGCATTACCATTTAAGTAAAACTATGTGTTGATGTATAAGATTTAGCATTATCATTTAAGTAAAAAAAAGTTCTATCTTCATTTTGGTTGTCTACTCTCAGTCATTGGTTATGTATAAGTGTATTGCTTTATTTCTAATAATATAAGGCTAATATTTATATTCGTCTGCAGAGTTAGGTGACTTCTAAAGTCCTGGGATGTCCTGCTTGCTTACAAAAGGCCCCCAGGCTCCAGTTTATCAGATGAGTGTCCACTTGGGGCAGCCCTACTGCCTTCTGGGGCCCCTGCAGTCTCCCCCCCACCCCCTGGAAGGTGAGGTCTGGATCCTTCTTGGGCTAGAGGATGGCCAGAGCTGCATACACACTGGGTTCAGCTGGGGGGCCCCCTGCCTGGGAGGAAGGGGCTGTGGTTGTCTCCTGTCCAAGATTCAAACTGTGCAGCTGGGCGTAGGTCACATCCTGGGGGTCTTCAGATGCAGTAGCCTGGAGGGGACAGAGTGAGAGTCAAGGATGTGCCTGGGGTGGGGAGAAGTCGGGGCTCCAGGAACGCAGAGGACTCACCTGACTGTCTTCTCCCTCTTGTCTGTCCTCTGTCTCCAGAAATCTCTCTGACAAGGGGGAAGGCAGGGTGTCCACCCCCCGTCTGCGACTTGCACGGTTCACCTGGGCGTACATCACTCCCTGAGGGTCTTCGTTGCCAGCGCTCTGCTGGGGGAGACATTGAGGGGGTGAACTCCTCTCCTTGTTTCCACATTTGTCCCTCTTCAGTTATGTTTCCTCCCAGAAGACAGAGACTTGATTTTAAAACATAAATCAGATCTTCTGACTCCCTTGTTCAGATATGTTTTCAATCAGGTTTATAACACCTAGTCTAAGACAGAGCCTTGTCAGAGATTCCCAATAAACATTTGTTGACTCACTGACTAAATGAATGAACTAATGTGGGGGAAACTAGGGGTCTTATAGGACATTCATTAAGTTTTGATTCATTCACTTCACTCCATATACATATATAATATATATACATACATAAATATAAATACATACATATACATATAGAGAGAGACAGACAGAGACAGAGACAGAGACAGAGACAGAGACAGGGCACTTGCCAGGGGGCCAAGAAGCAGACAGATAATGGCCCTGCCCTCAAGGAATTCATGGTCACTGGGTTGGGAACAGGCCATAAAGAAGGAAACAAGGTAATCTGGGGTGGAGATAAGTGTTAGGAAGGAAGTGAAATAGTGATGCAGTAGAGAATAAGTGAACTGCTTTATTCAGGACGATGTTTCTCCACTCAGAAGATTGGCGTCTTGGCCAGATGATTGTCATTGGGGACATAGTGTGAAATGTAGGACATTGAGCAGCATCTTTGGCCACTAGAGGACACTGGCATCCCCCCTCCCAGCTGTGACAACAAAACGTCTCTAGACATTGGTGCGAGGATAAGGGAAAGGGAAGAATAGAGAAAGACTTCTGGATTTTTTGGAGGAAGTGAACACTGAGAGAGAAATAACTCTTTTGGGGAGATTTAAGAATTGTGTATGTGACGTTGAAATGCCTGCTGGATGCACGGGTAGGTGGATCTATGAGGCTGGTGCTCAGGCACAGGGTCAGGACTGGAAATGATTGTGGAATCATGAACACAGAGGTGGTCCAGCTATACCTGGGACTAAATAAATGTGACCACATAAAACTGTCTCATGGTGAGGTTAACAAAATGGCTGGGTGGGCTTTCTGTGAGAGTAGGAGCCAAACGCCGACCATTACACCCAAGGCATGTTATTGTGCAGTTCCACTGCATCTAAATCCACAAAATCAGAGAAAAGAGAGTAAACAGAGAAAAAGGAAGGCAGAGGGCCCTAGTGCAGGGATGGGCTAGTCTATAGTGGGCCTCTGTGTGAATAAGAAAAGACATACCTCTCAGATCCCACCAGTAGGGTCTCAAATCCACGATCCCTATTGTGCAGTGCACAGACTATACAACTGTCCCTGGCAGCACTACCATTATGAGACATGGAGGACCAATGATTAGAAGACCCAAGTAAGGAGACCCGGAAGGAGAAGCCCACATGGAATCAGGAAAATCCCACTGGGGAAAACCCCACCCTGCTGCTGGGACACCATAGTGTCCCAGCAGCCTGCGTGTATCATCTTTCAAGAGGAAGTGTGAGGCCAGATGCTGCTGAGAGCCAAGTGACAGGAGGATGGAGAAGCAGCCGGTGGATTTAGCTTATTAACAAGACTGTGCCTGGTGCCCGGACAGGAGCAGGGGGCTTACCTGACCGTCCAAGTCTTTGTCCTCATCAGGCTGGTAATCTCTCACGGCAGCATCTGGAGAATGAGAAGATTCTACCTCATGCCAAGATTCCTGAAATCCTGCAGTCCCACACCCCCATCCCTTCCTTGGGTGGGGAAACTGAGGCCCAGCAAGAGGTAGGGATGTGCCTGGGATCACACAGACTTGGAATTTTTCATGATTCTTCACCCCCAAGCCAAGAACCCTCACCAACCAATCTCCCTGCCCCCATATCCCATCAGGGCCACCCTCCTCCCCGGTTACACTGGTTCTCCTCCTGGACTTGAGCCGTGGAGCTGGAGCTGAGGGGGGAAAACAGGAGCATTAGGTGGTGGTGAAGGAGCTGCAGGTGGTGGTGGGAGGTCAGGGGAGGGTCGTTGGGGAGAAATTACCTTTTCTGTGAGGCTCTGGTCTTAGCTTCAGGATCTGAAGTACCTGGATGAAGTTAGAAATCAGTGTCTAAACTACCCAGAACCAGGCTCCCAGGGTTTCATTAAGATCTCAGAGGATTTGAGCCCTTACAAAGTCTTGTCTATACACCCCCACCCCGTCCATTTGGAATTCACAATAAACAAGACTAAACTGTAACACACAAAACTTGCAAGGATGATTTAAACAAATTTTTATAAAAACGAAAGAACATTTTTCAAAGTCTAAGTCTGTTCTTAATTAAATCTCTTCATTCTAAATGATTTTATAATAATTTTCTTTGTTACAGAAAAATTTATGAGAACTTGTATTTTATTCCCACATCACCTTGACCTACATTCCTGATTTGGTAATACTTTACCAGAGAGAAATAGAGATGAGATAGAGATGGAGACAGAGATGGAGATGGAGATAAAGAGAAAGTCATGAGGGAGAGAGAGAGAGAGAGAGGAGAGGGCTATTATGTATGTATCTATGCACATATACATAAACATATGCACACACCCATAGGTAGACATACAGACAGACAGACAGACAGAAGTAGATAGATAGATAGATAGATGATAGATAGATAGATAATTTTTTCTGATATAATGCACCATCACCACTAAATACCCTAGCATGTGCCTCCCATAAACGTGAACACTCATCTATGTAACCCTAAACTCCCAGTCAGGAGATCTACATTGATGCAACACTTTCACCAAATCCTCACTCCCAATTCATGCTCCACCAACTGCCTAACAGCATCTCTTTTCCTCCTGGTCCAGGGTTTTGCTCAGGAATAAATGTTGCCCTCATTTTCCCTGTGTCATCAGTCTCCTGCAATCTGGAAGAACTCCTCAGTCTTTCTCTGTCCCTTGTTCCCTTGACTATCTTCAAGAATAAAGGATTTGCATTCTGTAGGGTGACCCTCAGCCTGGTTCTACCCAATGTCTAACTATGAGCAGACTCAGGTCATGTATTCTTGGATCTACACACCATAAATGAGTCTGTGATCATGTCCCTTGACATCAGGGGCTCGGGATGTCCTCCTGTCCTATCCCTGGTGATGTTAACTCTGATCGCCCAATCAAGAATGTATCTGCCAGGTCTCTCATGGTGAAGCTCCATTTTCCCTTGGGATTTGATTGGTATCTGGGGGTAGTTATTAGAGTATTAATCCAATATCATGACGCTCTTCAAACATACTACAGTCGTTGTTAGAATCCATTGATGACTCTCATCTGATCATCCACTATGATGGTAACTAAGTAACGATGATCTCTTTTCATTACTCCTGCATTGATTAGTTGGCATTTTACTCTAAAGTTTTCCCATGTATTCGTTTATTTATTCATTCATTTGTATATATCACTATGAACTAATGGATTTCTGTTTTATTCAATGCATTGTAATCCAATACTCAGGTTATCTACTTAGATGCTTAGATTAATTTAGTCTTTTTCCAGAAGAAGTTCCTTCCAGCTTGCACTTGTGTCATTTTGAATTGTCTCCATCATTATTTGAGAGTTTTTGCACTTTCTGGCAACAATAAGATGCTCCAGCATCCCTCTACTTCTCACCTTGTCTCAACCTGAAATAAAGAATTTCTGTACCCTGCTACTTTACTGTATTCGTTTATTATTTCTAATAGTTTTTTTGTGGATTCTTTAGGGCTTTCTATATATAAAATTACGTCGTCTGCAAATAGTGACAGCTTTACTTCTTCCTTTCCAGTTTGGATCCCTTTTATTTTTTTTTCCTGCCTGATTGCTCTGGCTACGACTTCCAATATTATGTTAAACAAAAGTGGAGAGAGTGAACATCTTTGTCTTGTTCCTGTTCTTAGAAGAATAGCTTTCAGTTTTTCACCAAAGAGTATGATGTTAGCTGTGGGTTTGTGATATATGGCCTTGTGTGTGTGTGTGTGAGGAAGATCAACCCTGAGCTAATCCATGCATGGATCCATGCTAATCCTCCTCTTTTTGCTGAGGAAGACCGGCTCTGAGCTAACATCTATTGCCAATCTTCCTCCTTTATTTTTTCCCCCAAAGCCCCAGTAGATAGTTGTATGTCATAGTTGCACATCCTTCTAGTTGCTGTATGTGGGACGTGGCCTCAGCATGGCCGGAGAAGTGATGCGTCGGTGCGTGCCCAGGATCCAAACCCGGGCCGCCAGTAGCAGAGTGCGTGCACTTAACCATTAAGCCATGGGGCCGGCCCCATATGGCCTTTTTTATATTAGGGTACTTTCCTTCTATACCCATTTTATTCAGAATTTTTATCATAAAAGGATACTGTATCTTTTCAAATGTTTCTCTGCATCTATAGAGATGATCATGTGATTTTTATTCTTCGTTTTGTTAATGTAGTGTATCACGTTGATTGATTTGCAGATTTTGAACTATGCCTGCATCCCTGGAATAAATCCCACTTGATCATGGTGTATGATCCTTTTAATGTATTATATTCAACTTGTTAACATTTTGTTGAGGACTTTTGCATCTATGTTCATCAGCGATATGAGCCTATAAAATATCTTAGTTTTCTTTTTTTGTGTTGTCCTCGTCTGGTTTTGGTATCTAGGTATGTTGGCCTCATAGAATGAGTTAGGAACTGACCCCTCCTCTTCAATTTTTTGGAAGAGTTTGAGAAAGATAAGTATCAAGTCTTCTTTGAATGTTTTGTAGAATTCATCAGGGAAGACTTTTGGTCCTGGACTTTTGTTTTTTGGGAAGTTTTTGATTACTATTTAAATCTCTTTGTTTTTTGGGAGGTTTATGATTACAGTTTCGGTCTCCTTACTGGTGATCAGACTATTCAAATTTTCTCTTTCTTCATGATTCAGTTGTGGAAGGTTGTATGATTCTAAGAATTTATCCATTTCCTCTAGATTATCCAATCTGTTGACATATAACTTTTTGTAGTATTCTCTTATCCTTTGTATGTCTGTGGTATCCATTGTAATTTCTCCTCTTTCATTTCTGAGCTTATTTACTTGAGCCTTCTCTTTTTTCTTGGTGAGCCTAGCTAAAGGTTTGTCAATTTTGTTTACCTTTTCAAAGAACAAGCTCTTAATTTTATTGATCTTTTCTATTGTCTTTTTTTTTTTTGAGGAAAATTGGCCCTGAGCTAACATCTGTTGTCAATCTTCCTCTTTTTCTCCCCAAGCCCCAGTACATGGTTCTATATCCTAGTTGTAGGTCCTTCTACTTCTTCTATATGGGACACTGCCTCAGCATGGCTTGATGAGCAGTGAGCAGGTCTACCACCAAGATCCAAACCAATGAACCCCGGGCTGCCGAACTGGAATATGTGAATTAAACCACTATGCCACTGGGTCGGCTCTTCTATCATCTTTTTATTCTCTAATTCATTTATTTCTGCTCTAATTTTTATTATTTTCTTCCTTCTACTAATTTTGGGCATTGTTTCTTTTTCTTTTTCTAGTCCTTTTAGGTGTATTCTTAGATTGTTTATTTGAGATTTTTCTTGTTTCTTGAGGTAGGCCTTTATTGCTATAATCTTCCCTCTTACCACTTTTGCTGTATCTCATAAATTTTGGTATGTCATATTTTCATTTTCCTTTGTCTCTAGGTATTTTTTGTTTTCTCCTTTGACTTCTTGTTAACGCTACAGTTATTCAGTAGCATTTTGTTTAATCTCCACGTATTTGTGACTTTTCTAGTTTTCTTCCTTTAGTTGATTTCCAATTTCATACCATTGTGGTCAGAAAAGATGGTTGGTATTATTTCAATCTTCTTAAATTTTTTGAGACTTGTTTTGTGGCCTAAGACATGATCTATCCTGGAGAATGCTCCATGTCTACTCATAAAGAAGGTGTATTCTGAAGTTTTTGGATGGAATGTTCTATATATATCTACTAAGCCATCTGGTCTAATGTGTCATTTAAGGCCAATCTTTCCTTATTGATCTTCTGTCTGGATGATCTATCCATTGGAGTAAGTAGAGTGTTTAATTCCCCTACTATTACAGTGTTACTGTCCATTTCTCTTTTTATGTCTGTTAATATTTTCTTTATGTATTTAGGTGCTCCTATGTTGGATGCATAGATGTTTACATGTATTATGTCTTCTTGTTGGATCGTTCCCTCTATCATTATGTAATGCTCTTCTTTGTCTCTTATTAAAGTTTTTGATTTAAATTCTATTTTCTCTGATATAAGAATTGCTAACCAAGCATTCTTTTTGTTTCCATTTGCATGGAATATCTTTTTCTATTCATTCACTTTCAGTTTCTGAGTGTCTTTAGATCTGAAGTGTGTCTCTTGTATGCAACATATATATATATGGGTCTTGTTTTTTTATCCATTCAGCCACTCTATGTCTTTTGGTTGGAGCACTTAGTCCATTGAACTTTAAAGTAACTATTGATAAGTATTTACTTATTGCCATTTTGTTACTTTTTTCTGGAAGTTTTTCTAGTTCTTCTTTTTTCCTTTCTTCTTCTCTTGCTCTCTTCCCTTGTGGTTTGATGGCTATCTTTAGCATGGTTGGGCTCCTTTCTCTTTATTTTTTTTGTGTGTATTTATTATAGGTTTTTGGTTTTGTGGCTACCATGGTGCTCATGTATAATTACCTATGTAAATAACAATCTGTATCAAGTAGATGATCTGCTAAGTTTGACTTATTACAAAAGCCCTACACTCTTATTCTCCCCTCCATGTTTTATGTTTTTGATATCATATTTTACCTGTTTTATTTTTGTTTATCTCTTAACCTCTTATCATAGATAAAGATGATTTTAATACTTTTGTCTTTTGGCCTTCATACTATCTTTATAGGTGGTTGATCTACTCTCTTACCTGTATATTTGCCTTTAAGAGTGATTTTTTTCTTCAATACTGTAAAGTTACAGAGTACACAATCATCATACAAAAATCAGTTGTGTTTCTAAACACTAGCAATGAACTAGCAGAAAGAGAAATCAAGAATACAATCCCATTTACAACTATAACAAAAAGAATAGAATACCTATAAATGAACTTAACCAAAGAGGTGAAAGAACTGTATACTAAAAACTATAAAACATTGTTGAAAAAAATCATAGAAGACACAAAGAAATGGAAAGATATTTTGTGCTCATAGATTGGAAGAATTAACACAGTTAAAATGTCCATACTTCCTAAAGCAATCTACAGATTCAGTGCAATCCCTAACAAAGTCCCAATGACATTTTTCATGGACAGAGCACAAAGAATCCTTAAATTTATATGGAACAACAAAAGTCCCCAAATAGCCAAAGCAATTCTGAGTATAATTAATTACTGAGTATAGTATAAATACTATAGGTGAAGCTACAGTAATCAAAACAGCATGGTACTGGCAGAAAAACAGGCACACAGATCAATGGAACAGAATTGAGAGCCCAGAAATAAACCCACACGTCTATGGAGAGCTAATTTTTGACAAAGGAGCCAAGAACATACAATGGAGAAAGGAAAGTCTCTTCAATAAATGGTGTTGGGAAAACTGGATAGCCATATGCAAAAAGATGAAAGTAGACCATTATCTTACACCATGCACAAAAATTAACACAAAATCGGTTAAAGACTTGAATGTAAGACCTGAAACCATAAAACTCCCAGAAAAAAAACAGGCAGTATGCTCTTTGACATCAGTCTCAGCAGTATCTTTTTGAATACCGTGTGTTCTCAAGCAAGGAAAACAAAAGAAAAAGTAAACAAATGGAAGTACATCAGACTAAAGAGCTTCTGCAAGGCAAAGAAAACTGTGAACAAAGTGAAAAGACAACCCAACAACTGGGAGAAAATATTTGCAAATCATATATCCAACAAGGGGTTAATTTCCGAAATATATAAAGAACTTATACAACTCGCAACAAAAAAACAAATAACCTGATCAAAAAATTGGCAGAGGATCCAAGTAGACATTTTTCCAAAGAAGATATACAGATGGCCAACAGGCCCATGAAAAGATGTTCAACACCACTATTTATTAGGGAAATGCAAATCCAAACTACAATGAGATATCACCACATGCCTGTTAGAATAGCTATTATTAAAAAGACAAAAATAACAAGTGATGGAGAGAGTATGGAGAAAAGGAACAATTTTACACTGCTGGTGGGAATGCAAGCTGGTGCAGCTGCTATGGAAAACAGTATGGAGATTCCTCAAACACTTAAGAATAGAACTACCATATGATACAGCTACACCACTTCTGGGTATTTATCCAAAGAACATGAAAACGTTAATTTGAAAAGATATACACACCCCTATGTACATTGCAGCAGTATTCACAATAGCCAAGACTTGGAAGCAACCTAAATGCCCATCAACAGATGACTGGATAAAGAAGACGTGGCATATATATACATACAATGGAAGACTGCTCAGCCATAAAAAAAAAGATGAAATTGTCCCATTAGCGACAACATGGATGGACCTGGAGGACATTATGCTAAGCGAAATAAATCTGAAAGAGAAAGCCAAATACTGTGTGCTTTCACTCATATGTGGAAGAGAAATGAACAAACAAACAGATGGATACAGAGAACATATTGGTGGTTACCAGAGGGGAAGGGGGGAGGAGGGAAGGCAAAAGGGGTAAAGGGGCATGGTTGTACGGTGACACACGGAAACTAGACTTTGGGTGGTAGACATGATGTAGTCTCCACAGAAATTGAAATATAATGATGTACACCTGAAATTTATATAATATTATAAACCAATGCAACCTCAATAACAAATAAAGAATTTCTCTGCTGAGCCCTAATTCTTTTGAATAGAGGATGGTATTCAGAAACCAAGATCTGGATGATTGGTTTGCTTATTGCTATTGGGCTTTCATTGTGTTTCTGTCTTATGTGTGGACATAGCTGAGACATACGTTTTCATATGTATGTGCATAGATGCACAATAACAAATACTTACCCCTATAAGTATTTCTACGTCAACTGATGTATATATATATACACACACACATATATATATAATTTTTTTAATGATGCCATACCGGCATTTCCGATTCCAATAGAACACCTCACAGTTTTTCTAGCAAACTGCCTTTGCACATTTATAAATCCTTTCACAGACACTAAGTAACTTAGCTCCCTTAAATCCCAATGTATTTACATATTTTCTCAAAGCAACTAATCTCCCAACCAACTCAACATTCTCCCCCACTCCTCACCACCACTCTTGGCTGCAGGACCATGATGACACCTTCACATGGCTCCCCGTCCCCATGCCCAGCATGGTCCCTCAGGTCTTGTATACACCCCTGCTACATCCACACAGGACTCCTGCCCTCACACTCACTATTCTTGGGAACCCCAGATCTCTGCCCAAGAAGATTACACAGTGGCAGTTGGGATGGAAAGAGCTTTCTAGAAATCTAGAACAAGTTGGAGAATTTTAAAAATGAACAATTTTTCTGTCTTTTTGGTGCTATATGTTGGCTGGTGCCCTAAGGAGCCACTTCACAGGTCTTTAGAGTAAGGTCTCACCTCTAGATAGTCCAGGTCCCCCATCTTATACTCACCTGATTTGCTGCATTTGTTCTGGTGCAGATGTCGGAGGAGGAAGAACAGGAGGAGGGAGAGCAGCAAGACGAAGGCCACTGAGACCCCGACCAGAACTTTCTGGTACTTTTCAAGACCTTGGGCACAAGTGATGTCATGAATGAACCGATGATGCCACTTATTTGAGTACCCACTGTGTGCCAGGCACGTGCTGGGGTATGTGAATTTATCTCCTCTAACCGTCACAGCAATCATGCAACATGGGAATGCCACACCCAACTCCATCCGTTTATAGACAAGGAAACTGAGGCTCAGAGAGATTAATCATGTGCCCCAGGTCACCAGCCAGGAAGTTGCAGAGCTGGGATTTGAACTCAGGACAATCAGTTCCCTTGTGGTCTTCTCATGCTTCACCCCTGCAGACACCAGCTTCGGGCTCTGGGGCTCCTTATCTGATTGGAACAGCGTGTCCACTCGTCCTCATGTGCCCCAGTCCTCTCCTTTAGCTAGAGCTCATGCACTCCTCACTGTCACTCTCGTTCACCAGCCCATCAGAGGCTTCAGGGGACCTAAAATTGAGTGCTCAGAGCTGGGGTCTGTGTAGGATGGACACTGTGCTCTCCCCAAGCCCCGAGTCCAGGCATGATCTGTCCTCCATCTAGCAGATCCCACACTCAGATGCAGGGTCTGTTTGACTTTTTGGTCTGCATATCTGGGAAGGGACAGTGAGGATGGATCTGCCATTTCCTGACACTGGGTGGGCCCTTCCCACAGGCACACCTTTCACTCTGGGGTCTCACCTAAGTCTTTTAGCAAACCTGTGAGGGAGACAGTAGGAGACATGTTTCACAGACAATGAAACTGAAACTCAGAGAGGGAATGTGACTTGTCTACATTCCCACAGCCAGGAAGTGACAGAGTAGGAATTTACATCCTGTGGAGCCTAACCTCCAAGCGATCAGTTATTTTTGCTTGGTTTTGATTTTTTCCTTCACTAAGATCAGGCTGAGACCACAGGCTGATGGGAAAGTGCTCTGGACACCACTGGTGTTATCGCTCTGCTCTTCCATGCTGCCCCAACAACCCAACATTGCCCGCCCCTTGTTCTGCAGACCTGGGACAGCATCCCTATAGGGTCAGAACTGAGATGTCCTTTGAGATCTCAGCCAGAACTCTCCTCTAATACATGTGGAAAAACTGAGGCTGAGATGGAAATGGTGCCGTCCAAAATCACCATCCCAGGGACCTCTGAGATTCCCCACTGGATCCCTGGCCATATATCAAAAATCAAGGATGGGCAGTTGAGAGGCAGAGGATGGGACATCCCCACTTAAACCTGGATGAACCCCCAGGCTGGGATACCAACATTGCCCTCTGTCATCACCACCCCATCCTTCATCTGTCCAGCCTCAGAGCCCCTCGTGCCCTGTGGTCCCTCCAGCATCCCTGCCTGACTCCCAGCTCCCCTGGGAGACAAGCCTATGCTGAGTATCTGAGGGGGCATTAGATTCTCTGAGAGACTCTGAGACCTGCCTTGGGGTGCTCTGTGCTCCCTCTGACCAAGGGGCCTCAATGACTCACCAACTGTCAGCTTTGGTCTAGTGGGTGAGGGACTGGGGTCAACGGTGGGTCCTAGGAAAAGGACAAGAGGAGAGTGAGATACTGGAGGTTCCCCCGGAGACCCCACCTCTGCTCACTCCCTTCTCTTTCATCTGCCCTGTGGGCCCCCAACGCTGTCCCTCCACCTACCTGGAGAATTCTGGTGATGGGGAAATGGGAAGGAGCAGGGGCGAGAGGGCCCTCTTATCCTCCATTTACCTGAGGATTGGACACCTCTGGATGACCCTCACCTGGAGCCCCTCATTCTCATTCACGACTGTGGCTCTCCTGGGCAGGGCCATGAGCTGACCAGAGGGGCACAGAGAGGACAGGGCTGGGACTTCCTCACCTGAGACCAGAATCTCCAGTGGGTCACTAGCGTGTGACCACTTCTGGGGTTTGTTCCTGTAAGAGCCATAGCATCTGAACGTCCATCTGTGACTGGTGGTCATGGGGCCCACAGGGAACAGAGCCTGGAAAGGCCCACTGGGGAGTTTCTGTGAGTTCAGGGTCCAGGAGGGCTTGTGTTCTCCTTCCTTAGTCAAAATAAACGTGCCAAATCCTTCCCGTGAGCAACACTGGAGGGTCACATTGCCTCCTGAAGTCACCATAGGGCTCGGCAGGGCTGAGAGGGTGGGTTTACCATAGAATCCTAGGAGAGGAGGAAGTAGCGTGTTAAATGGGATCACACCTCCCTCATATCCCCCAGGGTAGAACTGTGAGAGGGAGACACCCCTGAGAGCAGACCCCCTTTCTGAGGGCAGACCTGAGGCTGGGGGCCCTGAGTCCTCTCACCTGTCACCACCAGCTCCAGGGGGTCACTGTGATCTGACCAGCCAGCGGGGCTGAGATAGTTGCAGAAAAATTGCCCGGCATATTGCTCTGCCATGTGTGGGATGGAGAACTTGACCTTGTCCATGGGATCCAGTGGATTCTGTTTGTCCCATAGCTCTTGGTTTCCCCACTTATGCAGGCGGTACTCCTGGGCCTCTGGTGTCCCCTGACACCAGATGGTCACAGGTATCCCCTGGGGTATCACAGAGCCTGGCTCAGCCCAGATCGTGGGTTTGGGGAGGGTCTCTGGAAGGAAAACAGAGGCCAGGTCACAAGACAACCCCACCCCGAGTTCCCCAGCTCTCAGACCCAGGACGCTCCCAGAGGCCCCCACCCCTCAGACCAGAAATCTGTTCTCCATCCCTATCTGCCTGGGCTGTCCCCTGTCCCCAATGAGGAAGTGGGACCTGGGACACCTGAAGAAAGACTCACCTGCCTGCACTGCGATCCTTGGGCTCACACTCAGCCCTAGAATAGAGTTCCCTGTGAGAGATTGTCCATGAAGCCTGAGCAGAACCCTCCTCCCCATGAGCTACCTGAGACCTGCGATCTCCTGAAAGACCAGAGCCTGACTCTGGGGTGGAGTCCCTATCAGATTAGGGCTTACCCTCCTCTCCTCAAACCTCACCAAGGTAGAGCAGGACCATGAGGGTTGGGGTCATGGAGTCTCCTCCCTCTGGCCCAGGCTGTGCAGATGTAGGAGAACACAGTGTCTGGTAGGACAGAAAGACACACAGGATGTGGGAACTCAGAGGCTGGTCCTTCTTGCAACAGGATTGACACGTCAGCAGTCCCACAGGAAGGGGAATGGCCTCTTCTCAAGATCCTCACTCTTGTTTCCAGTACAGAGCAGCAAATAGAACTTGAGCATTCTTGAGTTGTCCCTTCCAGGTGAGGGTGGCCCAGGGCATGTCCTTCCCTCTCAGAGTCTCTGCATGGGGTCTCCTTCAACCTCATCCCATCCATCAGCACATTCCTGTGGGGTGCTCACCACTGACTGTGGTCATCCAGGCCCTGGAGATGCTTCAGGGAAAACTCAGTGTCCTACTGCACTGCAGAGCTCAGATGGGCAAAGAGACCAGCTCAACATCTAACTGTACAGATCAGGTCGAGGTCATTGTGACAATTAGCACAAACGTGAAATACAGGGAAATAAGGGAAGAAAACATCACTCCACCCCGTACGGGAGTGTAGACTTTCTTCCTATCACAGCCCCCTTCACGGACTTCTCTTTTGTCTTGCAACAGCATCCACCCCCATCTCTCTGGGAACAAACCTCTGAGTCATCCCTGCCCTCTCAATGCCCCTTGTTCTCCCAGGCACATCTCTCCTCCTCATCCTGGGGTACTGCCTATAAGCTTTAGGGCACATTTATTTGGGTTAGAGCTCCTATTTTGAAGAAAAGATGACTTTTATTTAAATATTCATCCATCATCCAATGCTTGTATACCTTGGAAATAACCTCCTGTCTATTTCCTTGTCTGTTTCGTTGTTTAAATAATTTTGTCATGAACCCCACTCTTCATATCTATTGTGGGTGTCAGTGGTTCCTGGTCCATGAGAGGTGATCAATCACTGTTAATTTTCAGACCAGGTTAAGACATGAGGTTTGGGATATGAGAGGATCATGGTGTCAGACTCCACAGTCAAGGTGGATGCTGGTTGTGTGCCTTTAAGAGCCCTCATCTGCCCTGAATACCAATAAATGCTACTTGTAATAATTCTGAAATATGTAGAAACAGTCATATACAGGAAAAGAGAAATGAGATTTTCTAAACTACACAGGAAACCACAAGAAAGAACAGAGAACAAAGCTGAGTAGCTGCCAGTGCCCGGGGACATCAAGGGGTCATAGAGCAGAGGTTTCCACCTATGTGGACGGGAGAGGGCCCCGAGTCCTCACAGGAGAGAGGGGTCAGGGCTCAAGTGAAGGTTGGAAGCTGTGGTTTCCCCTACCTTGTGTTTGTGAACAAGCGCAGGAACAAGTCTGCTCACTGCCCAGTCCCTGGTCAGCACTGAGTCACCTCCTCTATGTGTGTGTGAAACAGATTCATGGCAGTTTTCTCTGACATGAGCATCTGTTCCACATGTGACCATGAGGCCAACATTGCCCCATCCCTGACTCACACAACGCTGAGCAGATGCTGTTTGAGAGAGTGGACGCCATGGGGCAGGAACAGCTGCAACAGTCCCCCCTTGTCAGCCTGACTCGCAGCACAGCCCTGGAAAAAACCCCTCTAGGATGACTACGTGTGTGAGACAGAGTGTCCAGTAAGAACAGACATCAAAGCATAATCCTAATAATGATAAACAGTGCTATGAACAACAATCTTCTGATAATAAGGGTTATCATATCTAAGGAAATAGAATCAATAGTAAAATATGAGAATAATTTAAAATTAAGTGTGTTTAAATATCTGAAGAAATAAAGTAAGATATTGAGTTTTTGAGGCAAGAATATCAACTATATTACGGAATATTAGGCAATTATAGAAGTGATTAAGAAATTTTAGAGACAAAAAATCCAATAGAATTAACACATTCAAAAAAATCATTCCATCAATGACAAGACACAGCTGAAGAGACATTTATGAAACTGGAATACAATCTTGAGGAAATTTTCCAGAATGCAGTGTAGAGAGACCAGAAATGGAAATTCAAGATACTCAAGGAATAGAATGATGAGGGCCAACGTCGCATCTATCGTAAGAGTCAGAAGAAAGAAGGGAGAATGAGATCTAGTAGCAGCTCAAGAGATAAAGAATTGAACATTTTAGCGAGATGAAGAAAGATCAACTTAGTGATCAGATGCATATACTTAAAAATGACATCTGTATCTTGACATTTCATGGTAAAATAAGAAAATGAAGATGCATTTGAGAGGGGAAGAGGAACTTTTCCGATGCCACCCCTCCTCCTAGGCAGCACAATATGGGGCTGAATCAGCCAACATCAAAAGGGAGAGAGGTGAGAGAGTGCCTGGCTTCCCCAGCTGTGTGGGACTCTGTTGGAGAAACCCACTGCTCTCAAGCAGCTGCCAGAGTTCTGAAGCAGGACCTCCATGACTGCAGGGAGGGAGGAGGAGAAAAAGGCAGATAAGAAGATCAAAAGGCATTAAAGGGATGCAGTTCCTTTTGACTGTGTTCAGGATTCCAGCAGGAAGCTGGTCCATGAGTTGCTGGGATAACATCCAGTGAGGATGCCCCCAACACACCGAGTGTGTAACCCACACCAAACCACACACTGTGGCTGTTCCCTGTGCATGCTCAGAAAACAGGCCAGGGTCTCTGGGCAAGAAACCACAAACTTGAGCTATAGCACCACTTTCTACAAAAGGAAAGAGAGGTTTCCAGCAGCCAGCCTGGTGGGTTGCAAGAACCAGAGATACAACACCCACTTACAAATTTTGCCACAATAGGAAGTTAAAAGTGCGGGCAGATGTATCTATAAAAAGTTGGAGAAAGTATCAGCTATAAGCAGGATTAATGAAAAATATCTCCCACCTGAAGACAACTAATAAAGATTTTCAGAAGTGAATACTACTTCAAATGCAAAACAGCAATGCAAAACTCAAAGGAACATGAAAAACTAAGGGAAAATGTATCACCAAAAGAAAACAATAAGTCTCCAGTGACCGAACTCAAAAGACTCAGTATTTGGCAATGTAGCTGATGAAGATTTCAGAATAGCAGTTTTGAGGAAACTCAACAAGCTGCAAAAACACAGAGAGACAATTCAAAGAAATAAGGAAAACAATCCATGAACAAAAAGAAATTTAACAAAGAGATAGAAACCATAAAAAAGAAACAAACAGAAATTCTGGACTTGAAGAATTCAGTTAATGAAATGAAAAATGCACTAGACAGCAGCAGAATAGATCAAACAGATGGTGGAATCAGTGGGCTACAGGATAGGAACTTTGAGATAACCAGTCAGAGAAGAGGAAAGGAAAGATAACAAAAAAGATGGAAAAAACCTACGTGATCTATGGGACACCATCAAATGTACAAATATTAGAATAATTGGAATTACAGAAGGAGAACAGTGAGAGAAGGGGGCAGAAGCTTATATAAAGAAATGTAATCCATGAAGAAATAGAAGTATAATGATATACATCTGAAATTTATACAATGTTATAAACTAATGTTACCGCAATAAACAAATAAAAATAAATAAATAAATAAATAATTAATTAAAAATAACTGAGAACCTCTCAAACCCAGAGAGAGACTTGGACGTCCAAGTTCATGACTAATAAATAGCCAGTTATCTTAATGCAAAATGACCTTCTCAAAGACACATTATAGTGAAACGGTCAGAAATCAAAGTCAAAGAGAGAATCCTAAAAGCAGCAAGAGAAATAAAGATTGTAACCTACAAAGAAACCCCCCGTTATCTATCCGTGGATTTCTCAGCAGAAATACTACAGGCCAGGAGAGAGTGGAAAAACATATTTATCATGTAGAAAGAAAAATTTGCAAGAAGAATGATCTATCCAGCAAATTACCCTTCAGATAGGAAGGAGAAATAAGGACTTTGGTCTATAGTTTTCTTTTTTACAGTGTCCTTCTCTGGCTCTGGTATCAGGATAATGCCGAACTCAAAGAATGAATTGGGAAGTGTTCCCTCCTCTTCAATTTTTTTAAAGAATTTGTGAAGGAATGGCATTAATTCTCCTTTAAATGTGTAGTAGAATTTGCCGGTGAGGCCACCTGGTCCTGGGCTTTTCGGTTTGGGGAGGTTTTTTATTACTGACTCAATATCCTTACTCATTATTGGTTTGTTCAGATTTTCTATTACTTTCTGATTCAGTCTTGATATGTTGTATGTTTTTAGGAATTTATCCATTTCTTCTAGGTTACCTAATTTGTTGGCATATAATTGTTAATAGTAGTGTCTCACGATCCTATGTATTTCTGTAGTATCAATTGTAATGTCTCCTCTTTCATTTCTTTTTTTGTTGTTGTTGTTCAGTGAGAACACCGAACTTTATTTTTTTTTTAATTTTTTCTTTATTGCAACAACATTGGTTTATAACATTGT